TTCTAACAAAAACATATTTTCCTTTTTTAACAAAACTAAAAACTCGTACAAAATTTCTATTCTAAAAGAGAATAACAAACGAAAAATCACAACCTTGTATCACAATGATAAAAAAACCATTCAACTTTAAAGAAAACCTAAATATAAATATCCATACAAATACCTTTTGGTTTTACGAAAACAAGACTTTTGACTTTTCTTAACTTAACAGACATTTTCGTTTGAAACTTAATACTAATTTTTGTTTATCACAATACCTATATCACTTTTGCTTCTTCAGTCTTGCACTGGAAGGGGGTTTTTGAGATAAAAGGCTTCATATGATTCCGATCTTCTTCTTCCTTTGGACTGATACGCTGTTTCAGGCGTCAGTGATTGAGCAGGAGCAGGAGGTGGTCGATAAGTTGCTCTACATCGAAGTACTGCCTCGTATTCCTCAGCTCGAGCAATTAGTTCAGAGACGGTCTTGATGTCATGACGGCGAAAATACAGCTTATATTCAGGTTTTAGGTTCCCATAAATCTTTTCCAATTTGTCTTCCTCAGTATATCCTCCTTGACGACGAATTAGAGTGACGATTGAAACAACGTATTGGCGACAAGTCTCACGTTCTCCTTGAGTCCTATCCTGTATTTCTCGATCTAAATTCTGCTAATAGCCAGGAGGCAGGAACTGCAATTCAAATTCTCGTTGAAACTCAGTGAAATTTCTGCAGAATTCCTTGTTGTTTCGCCACCAGAGGAGGGCATTCCCTTTGAAGATTTCTGGCATCGCTTGTAGAATGCGATTTAAGGGTATATCGTAAGCTTCTACTAGTTCATTTAGTCGTTCCATAAATGAGACGGGGTCCGTGTATCCATCGAAACGAATGTTCCACTTTCTTACTTGATTGCAGAGACTAGCCGTATCCGTGTGAGGTTGCTTATTTGAATTCAATTTCACCGGAAACGGATGATGGTTTATTTTCAACTCTTGCGGTGATCTTTCATCGGCAAATCTTTAAAGTTCGGGAAAGGCGTCGGATGTTGATGCCTTCTGAACAATCCTCTCTTTCTCAGCGAGGTCTGTGAGCCTCATTCGTAAGGTTTTGACATCAGAATTTGGGGGCAAACCAACGATCATCATGAAATTGTTGAGTATGCTGGAGTCCAGATTTGAGTTTGAAGCCCCACCTTCAACCATGTCCACTGGGGGGAAAAGTAACTGATTTGTCTCCGTCGTTGGAGTAACACCACGAGTTCGAATGTGTTCGACGAGGCGACTTCTTAACTCTTGCATTTTCCCGCTTGCGTCTAAATTGCGTGATTCCAGCTCAGCTTGAATTTGATGCTTTGTCAATTGATATACCCAAATTACACGCTGGTCCTGTTGACTAGCCTGACTAAAGGTGGCAGGAATCCCGTGAACAATTGGGGTTTCAACTTGGGTTACTTCATTGTTTTTTCCAGGGGAAAACATTGCCGCTTTGGTGTCGGTCGTGGATTCTTTTGCAGTGAGTGGAGGAAATTCATTGCTGTCTAATTTGTCTTTTGTCATTTCCAACGAGAGTTTCGGATTGTTTTCCAAGGTATTTTCGATATTCTTTTTCTACGAATCGATGACTCACGGAGTCCCTGTTCGGGCGCCAAAATGTGTGACGTACTTTCGGTAAGGAACGTATTTGCAGCTTGCACACTTGTCCTTGATAGCAAAGTCGTAGCTGCGTTTTTGATTCCAGGGGTCGATGTTTAAAAGGGTTTGGAATTGGCTCAGAATATTGGCAATGAATCACAAGATTCCCAAATGGCCCTGACTCATCACAGCCAAAGGATAAGCTTGGAATGCTGGGATTGCTCTAGCACTCGGGACGGATAGCTCGGATTGCTCTAGCAATAGGAACGGATTGCTTGGATTGCTCTAGCAATAAGGACGGATTGCTCGGATTGCTCTAGCAATAGGGACGGATTGCTTGGATTGCTCTAGCAATAGGGACGGATTGCTTGGATTTCTCTAGCAATAGGGATGGATTGCTTGGATTTCTCTAGCAATAGGGACGAATTGCTCTAGAAATAGGAACGGATTGCTTGGATTTCTCTAGCAATAGGGACGGATTGCTTGGATTTCTCTAGCAATAGAAATGGATTGCTCGGATTTCTCTAACAAAAGGACGGATTGCTTGGATTATTCTAGCAATAGGGACGGATTGCTTGGATTTCTCTAGCAATAGGAACGGATTGCTCGGATTTCTCTAGCAAAAGGACGGATTGCTTGGATTTCTCTAGCCATAGGGACGGATTGCTCGGATTGCTCTAGCAATAGGGACGGATTGCTCAAGTTTCTCTAGCAATAGGAACGGATTGCTAGGATTGCTCTAGCAATAGGGACGGAGTGCTCGGATTGCTCTAGCAATAGGACGGATTTTAGGAGAGTGCACCTCCCATGAAGTGTCCTGGGCCACTGCCCGGGAGCGAATGAGACTGGTGTCCCGAGCTGTCGCGGTTTTATGCGAAAATCTGGTCCACTTGGAGGGGGAAAGTCGCGCATGCGCAGGAGTGCGTTTTTGCTCAGTTGCAACCCAGCTGTCATGGAGAGCTGATCGGTTCCTAAGTAAACATAGAAACAAATGGGGATTGAAATTGAGGGATTGAACTCTTTTCTTGCCCCCCTGCTATGTTTTTTCTAATTTATTTTAAACACACTGCATGTATTGTATACACAGTGCACCTGTTTTCAGTCTTTGCTTACCTATGTTTTTTATAAACTTCAGTATTTTATTTTTAAGATGACTGTGATACTTTTTGCATGTACACTGCACTTGTTTATATTTTATTGTTTATATTTATTTAGCCTTATTGCCCGTAAACTTTAGGCTACTATTATGACGTTCATCCATTGCATGTGTTGTACATAGCGTTAACGATGAATAAAAATTCTTGATTCTTGATTGATTCTTGAGGTTATGTTCGGCGGATAGGATCAGGAACTGGCATAATGGTATCGATGGTTTCGGGCGGCGGAAGGTGATTGGGGCCGGCGGAAAGGAGTCGTGAGGTAAGGAGATGGGCGGAGGTCGTGGCAGAAGGATAGTTTGGGCAGTAGAAGACGATGTGAGGCGGCGGAAGTCGACTAGGGGCGGCGGAAAGGAGACGTGAGGTAGGGAGATGGGCGGAGGTCGTGGCGGAAGGATAGGTAGGGCAGCGGAAGATGATGTGAGGCGGCGGAAGACGATGTGAGGCGGCGGAAGTTGACTAGTGACGGCGGAAAGGAGACGTAAGGTAAAGAGATGGGCGGAGGTCATGGCGGAAGGATAGGTAGGGCAGCGGAAGTCGATGTGGGGCGGCGGACGTTGACTGGGGCGGCGGAAAGGAGACGTGAGGTAGAGAGATGGGCGGAAGTCGTGGCGGAAAGATAGGTAGGGCAGCGGAAGACAATGTGAGGCGGCGGAAGTCGACTAGGGGCGGCGGAAAGGAGACGTAAGGTAGGAAGATGGGCGGAAGTCGTGGCGGAAGGATAGTTAGGGTAGCGAAAGGCGTTGTGGGGCGGCAGAAAGGATTCGTAAGGTGTAAGGAGGAAGGAAAAAAGTGTCTTGAAAAAAATTGGCTCGTTACAACATAGTTCATTATTTAAGTTATCGGAAAAAGCATTCTCAGTTAAAAAAACAAAATTTATGATTACCTACTATAATATTTCCTGACACAAGTATGCAATTTTTATATATTACTGATTAAATAATCTGAAAAGTTAAAACAAAGTCTTAAACCTGCAATTTATCAATTACTTTAAAAAAAAGTGGTATGTAGATTCTTAACACTGACGATTTTAATTCTACCAAATTACCAAGTAGCTTAAGGATTACTACACCAACCCCTGTCTTTATGTAGTTTTATATAGTATGTAATTTTGGAGTTATGGGTTGTTTTTCAAGTGGCCTACAAAAATTACTAGGTAATGAAAAAATTACAAAAATTTCTCATAGCCAATTTTATTTGTTAAACTTTAAAATTTAAAAATAAAATTTCTAGAAGTATGCTATTTTGAAATTTTTGGTTAAGCCACAAACTCAAGATTATATCTTGATCATCTACCACTGTTGTAGAGACACTATCATCGTTTTCCGTGATAAATGCAAAATCCTGAATATCTCCCTCAGTCACAGAAACGCCTTCGTCGTCTCCCGCGGTGACGGAAACATCATCGTCGTCTTCCGCGGTCACGGAAACGTCATCGTCTCCCGCGGTCACTGAAACACCATCGTCTTCTCTCGCGGTCACGGAAACACCATCGTCGTCATGCGCAATCGCGAAAAAATCACTAACAGCTGTTTGGACATCATCATCGTCTCCCGCAGTCAAAGAAACGTCATCGTCGTCACCCGCGGTCACGGAAACGTCATCGTATTCTTCCGCGGTCATGGATATGTCATCTTCGTGCGCGATCGCGGCAAATTGAAAATTCCCGGTAAAATACTAAATTTACGCATAATTCCAGATTTTTTCCCAGTTCAAAAAAATCATGTGTAATTCCCAGTTTTCCTGGTCGGTGGAGACCACCCTGATATATGATGGCTTCACTTTGTAAAATTCAAAGTGGTGGTAGCTTTCCATTAGATTTTTACACCTTGTGTTACAATTAAGAACTTCTATTTTTTCATCCTTATAAAAATAGTGAACAGTTTTCAATAAGTACATACCGTACACATTCAAAATTGTTATTTGTTTAAAGCTCTGTTTCACTCATTTCTTATATTTAAAATTTTCACTGATTCTAATAGCCTGTTTTTGTAGTTTTAAAATTTCTATATTCTAGCCACCATAAATGTCTATTCCATAGCCAATATGACATTCTACAAGGAAATGGTAAATAATTTTCAACCCTGGTTTTTCACAAAGATACATCATAGATCTGAAGGACAAGCCATAGAAGACAGCTAATGTGGTTGAACCACAGATTTACTAGCAGGATGTTTATGTTTCTTTTATTAGCCCAGAAGCTTAACAAAAGTAATTTATTATTTTTCATACCTTCCGCTTCCTTTGCCATGCGGACAGACTCAACTGTTTGCTCCTTGACTCCATCGTCTGCTGCCACCACCAATACCACGATGTCTGTGGCCTGAGCACCTCGGGCCCTCATGGCACTGAACGCTGCGTGGCCCGGTGTGTCCAGCATAGTGATCCTCTCCCCAGACTTCAGCACCACTGTAAAAGTAATCTTTTTTCATGTTTTTTTATTGTTTAAGCAACCACCACAATACATCAAAACAGTACAATAAAACCTTTAACCGAAATAAGAACATGATAAGAGTATACAGCACTTTTAACAGACATTGAGGCCTAATAAATATGTCTGGATCAATTATGCAAGTTTAAAAACTACTGCATTTCTGTAGTTTTTTTAGTGTAGCAATCAACGGCGGCCTTAACCACAAATTCTGTGCCACCTCTCTTTTTTCAGTCACTTTCCTTTCTCCTCCTTTATCTAAGATACACTTAGGCGGTTTGAGTTAATTCGACGATTATGGTTATTAGGTTAAAATTGTTTTGGTTGAGAAAGGTTCTACAGTATACACCATCACTAGAGTTAGAAGCAAAGTTAATTATTGATAATTAATCGTGAAAGGGAATATTAGATTAAATTGCAGATTTGATTGAGTTGTTAACAATGACTATAACTTTGTACACTTGTCGCTAGTTTGTTTATTCACCTGAGAAAGCTCCAATGTGTTGTGTGATGCCTCCAAACTCTGATTTGACGATGGAGGATTGTCTCAGGGTATCAAGTAGTGTAGTCTTGCCGTGGTCAACATGTCCCATGATGGTGACCACTGGAGGCCTGGGTCGCAACTGGTCCTCTGGAGCTGGGGGCCTTCACAACACATTCTCAATCTATGTTACTGCACTTATTTTTGGCAGTGTTGCATTGCATCAAAGCCGATTCAGAACAAAAAGAACAGTACCAATATGTGAACAAAAATTTAACAATTCAAAAATTTGAACAATTTAAAATTAACTATGAAATTTTATTAAATAATTCATAGAACTTTTTTAAAAGTAAAATAAAAAAGTTAATAAAAAAACTTGTATCTGTGCATTATAAATCTAACTGTATATTTGAAAGTAGAATGGATTTAGAAGACTCAACAACATTTAAAATGTTTATTCAGATTTTTCTTGGGAGTTCATTAATTACAGCCTTTTTCAGAAGGGGGATCTCAGGATACTTAGGCGATTGTAGAAGCCGTCTGCAATGTTTGGGCAATCTAATATTCATGATGTTGCCGCCATAGCAGGAGATAATCTTTACGTTGTTGTAAATGCAGAGGATGACAACATGTGGCCTTCTTAATCTCATGGGGGTTATCAAGATGTTAAGATGAACGCGGCAGATGGTTAAAACTTTGCCGTGATTGTGGATGATTCTGAAAGTTGTTTAGAATAAAAAGTATTTATTGAGAATAGACGGTTCCTAAATATCACCGTTATAATAAAAATAGAGAACCATAACCAATCTATTCCTTTTTTAAAGTTTAACCACAACATTCACAGCTCAATCTTAGGTGTTTACGGTTAAAAAAAATCATGACTCGTTCTTGATTTTAATATGTACACATGGTTGAGTGGGGACCAAATCAAATCAAATCAAATCAAAATAATCTTTATTCATTTTTATATACAATATGTATACATAAATGGCGTCAATATAAAACTATTACTAAACTTAAAGACTAACATAGTGTTGCTTAGTTTTTGTATGGAATTCATTAAAACTATAAAATGCACCTTCAATTAGAAAAGATTTTAAAACATTTTTAAAATTGCGAGAGGTTATTTTATTTTAAATTGAAATTGGTAGGCAGTTAAAAAATTATAGCTTGGCTTCTTTTTAAAAAACTCTTTGTTATGTTTTGTAATTTGAAAATAATTTCTTTGTCTAGTATTATATTCATGTTTGTCGAGATTTTTTGATAATGTGCCAATTATGTTCTTTATATAGAGAATAGTGTTAAAAATATAAAGGCTGTAAACTGTCATTATCCCTAATTCTAAAAAATAAGTTTTACAAGGAGTGTCATATTTTAGTTTTAACATAGTTCTTAAGGCTTTTTCTTGCCAACATAAAACTCTATTCATGTTAAAATTTTAAGTAGCTCCATAGACTTCAATGCCATACGTTATGTGTGAATGAATTACTGAATAATAAACCGATTTAATTGTTTTCAAATCACAGAAATTTGACAGTCTATAGCAAAGATCCCAGAACTTATTTTAGAGCAGACTTTATTAACGTGACCTGTCCAATTAAGAGTACAGTCCAACGCTAAGCCTAAAAAATTAGTATTTTCATAAAGGTTGAAAGGTGGCGCTGTTGAAGTAATAGAATTTGACTTCCTGCAAGAAAATTTAATAATTTTTGTTTTGTTTTGATTGATTAATAAATTTAAGCTATTTAGTTGGTCATTAATTATATTGATTGCAGTGCCAATTTCAGAAAAAACTTTATTAATATTTCGGTCAGAGATTGTTAAATTAATATCATCGGCAAAAATACTGAAATTGTTATTAGCTGTAAGTGTATGTAGACAGTTTGGCAACTTTCCCAAATAGCAAAGAAACAAAAATGGTCCAAGGACAGAACCTTGTGGTACAGAATAATTAATAGATCTGGTTTTTGAATTGATTTTAAAAGCTTTATTATCCTCAATGTGTGATATTTCTACATATTGTTGGCGATCCGTTAAGTAAGATTCCAACAAAGCTAATTCTTTGCCAGATATACCAAAGAAAGTTATTTTTTTAAATAAAAGTGAATGGGAAACACTATAAAAAGCCTTTGTTAAACCCAAAAAAGCAGCTACTGATTGGTTACCTTCATCCAGTTCGTTAATCAAATTTTCAACAAAGGCTATTACAGCTGTTACAGTGGATTTTTTTTGCCTAAAACCATGCTGTTCAGTGTCTAACAAATTATTATTTTCAAAATATTCTGTCAATTGTAATAACATGCATTTTTCAAGGAATTTTGACAAAGAGGGTAGAATTGAAAGAGGCCTATAATTAGATGGTTCATTTTTGTTTCCTTTTTTATATAATGGAATTATTTTGGATATTTTTAACTGAGAAGGAAAAACACCTGAAATGAGGCATGCATTTATAACATGAAGAAGTGGTTTGAGAATCGCCCACTTAGCATCTTTAATTATTTTTGTTGGGATATCATCACACCCAGAGGACCATTTGCTTTTGATTGAATTTGTTATTTGAATCAACTCCTCTTCTGAAATGGTTTTGAACCTAAAAGTATGATTAGTTAATACTGCATCTGTTATTGGTCTATTTATTATTCTCTTATTCATTTTAATTTCAGGAATAATTATATTCTCTACAAGGTCAGCATAAAAATTATTCAATATGTTGACTACTTTATAAGGATCAGTGACACATTTACCTTGGTGGTTTAAAAATAGCTCTGTTTTTGATTGATCATTGCTCCTGTACAGTTCCTTTTTAATCAATTGCCAAATAGCTTTTGTAGGGTTATCTGATTTATTTATTATGTTTTCAAAATATTGCTTTTTCTTTTGTATCACAAGATTTCTGTATTTCCTTTTTTGCATTTTTAAGTTCTTTTTTACACAAACATTTTTATTTCTTCTTTTTTGTCTATAGTTATCTATGAGCTTAGTCCGTTCATGTTTTATTTCCCAATCAATCCAATTTTTACTTTGGGGGTTACTTCTAACATTTATTTTTGGAAAGTTTTTATCAAAATGATAGTTCAATACATTATAAAAATATGAAAATTTGTTATCAATTGGTGTTTGATATAGTTTATTAGCCTAATTTTCATTTGTCAAATCATTCACAAAGTTTTCAATATTTGGTTTTTTAAAACAACGTTTCATTTCCCACAGCCTTATATTTTTATTTTTATTTTTGACATTATCCAATTAAAAAATTTGCCCATCGTGGTCAGAGAGTGCAGTTACAATACAAATTGCCCTTACCTTAAAATATTATGTGATCTATTTGCTACCATGGATTCAAATTCTAATTTGGCAATTTTATATTTATCCGGAGCTAACCTTCTTGGTCTTGATTAGACTGGTGGGCCAGAAGTCGTATTTATGTAATGTACTGTGTTATGAGGAATAAATCTTGGTACTCCAAAAAGTTTTGTGATTTCTGGAAATTCCAAATACAGTGGAAAGTTTGATGGGTCGGAAGTAATTAATTTAATACTAAATTGCTGAGTATTCATGAACTGACCATTCATTGAGTATTCAATAAAGAAACCATTACTACAATCAGGTAATAAAGAATAATGAGCTAGGAAGTCAGAGCCAATGATTGGAGTGCTTCCTTTTAGCTATTATGAAATTCCAGACTAGAGTTCTTCGTAGACCAATATTTAAGTAAAGACATAAACTACCATAAGTGGGTATTTCAGAGTTATTTGCAGCTCTGAGTTCTATCCCGGATGGTTTTAAGGGTTTTTTGACTAAATTTAGTGGTGAAATTAAATGAAATAATATTTACTAGGTGAAACCCGTCGAAATCGACGGTTACTTTCAAAGCTTACGCTAATTCATCTAACTGCGATAAATTGAGTGAAATTATACATATTTTGAGCATTTAGCATTGTTTAAAGATTAATAAGTGTAAAAACAATAATGATATTAATTGTGTTAGTTCCCAAACATCGTTGATCATTCAATGAATAAAATATTTCCCATACTGTACGTCATCGGAGTTGTTAGTATGCTATCTCTGGTATCTCTTCCTCTGGAAGAACCTTCAAATAGTATTAAAATCGTATTGGTGGATCTTTTGTAGTTAAACACTTCAGTGATTTCATCAGTGTAATGCAGATTAATCTATGATTTTATTTGAAAAAATCTGTTTGTTGGCAAGACACGTTCTAACCTCAAAGGGAGGTATATCCGTTACAGTGTAAGTTTGATTTTTCCTTCGTCACGTCGCGTCAGTTCATATCGTATTTCTGTGCCAATGAATAACCCTCTAGCACAGTTTTGAGAAATTAGTTGTGGGGTTACTGTTAAAGCTGGAATTCCTTGAAATGGGGGATGTTAGTCGGGACCACGTAAGTTTGCAGTTGGTGGCAGCCAATCACAAGACAAGGCTAGTGCAACGTTGCCACATCGCACTTATAAAATATACTGAGCAATATTTTCAAATCAGCTGGTATTATTAGATTTGGCAACACCACACGGTTCTCATTGGTTCATTCAAACCCATATGGTAAATAGGCTCCTCCCTCAACTGCAAACTTATGTGGTCCCTACTCTAGTTGTTTCAGCCTTATCAGTTACATAAAGTTGTCAATATAATCTCTCTACGGAATGTAAGGTGTAGTGGATATACCTCCTCATTTATATGGTCGTGCAGCTTCATTGGCAACAAATAATGCGAATGACATAGTAATGTGGCATTTCCAAAAAGAAAAAACTAGGGAGCGTTTCATAAACTCCAAATTTCACAAACTCCAACGCTTAAAATATTAAATGAACAGAGCGGTTCATAACCTCCAAATTTCATAAGCTCCAAATCTGTAACATTAAAATAATCACTATTTCACAATGTCCAAGTTTCACAAACTCCAACGTTTAAATATTAAATAAACAGAGCGGTTCATAACCTCCAAATTTCATAAGCTCCAAATCTATAACATTCAAATAATCACTGTTTCACAATGTCCAAATTTCACAAACTCCAACGTTAAGATACCAAATAAACAGTGTGGTTCATAATGTCCAAATTTCATAACCTCCAACGGTACAGTCTGGGCCAGAAGTCTCTACAGTGGTTGCCACAGTCAGATAGCAGGCAGAACCACGGCAACCTCTG